AGAGAAAATTATTTCTGTTTTTGTTTGCCGTTGTTCTTAGCGACCGCTATAGCAGCGCCAGATCGCGTAAAACGGTCGCGACCCAAAATAATTTCGCGACCTAAAATTTTTACGAGCTTTCCAATCTAAACTTGTTGCATTTATCTATGTGAGAATGTATTAAACGTAGCGTCAAAAAATATGTACCTATGTTATTTTATATCTGAAAGGGTGCAGAAACGCGTTTATAGTGTGTAGGTTTAATTCATTCTTACATATTATATCATTACCTACAGGCTTGGTGCATTTCAGTTGATTTCAACAAATTCCGTCAACAGCGCTTCAACGGCAAAAATCAGAAATGATTCCTACCTTTTTCAAGCCGCCGCGCCGGCCGTCATTTTGATCGCATTAAAATAATATTGAAATCGTGGTTTTGTCATAATATTTAAGTATTTTAGTTTTTTGCTAGAGCAGTTATTGCGACCATAAAACACTCTGGTACGAGGTTTGTGGGATGTGACGCTATTTCGAGTAAAAAATAAGTGAAAAAAAAATCGAACTAGGCGTCGCCACCGTCTTGTCGTGTTGTGACAATTTTAAATGTTAATAAAATTACCGAAAAAATTTTAACGCATAAAGGAGAGCGTATGGCATTGTTGGCTGCAATAACATTCAATAATTCAACTTTCCCGGATATTCAACACTCCCGAAACAAAATTTTATAGCTTCGTAGTTTCTCACACCGATTTCATCAAAAGCAAAAATGGATTGGACTGGTTCGACGAAACAAGTGAATAAACAAAGTGCTGGTTACATAATCAAAAAATTAAAAAGACATGAGAGGATAAAATATAATTTGCAATATTAATGGTATACTTTTTTTAATCAACTACCCAGACAGCACAGTGACATTTTAAAGACATCTATAAGACAACTTGTTTTAACATTACTGACATCTCAAAGACGTCTATTTTCGCCTTTAGACGTATTAAAGGTATCTTACCAACGTCTGATGTTAAAAAACCCAACATCTTTAAGACGTCTTGAGTACAATGTCTTTAAGATATATTTTAACAATGTACTTAAGATGTCTTTTAATATGAATGAAAATGGGAGACAATGGTGAATTATAAAATAAAACATCTTCTTGGACTGGCATTGTCTTTAATTTTTAAATTAAGCATGTTTCTCTCAGATGTTACACTGACCAATATGAAGTGAACAGTTAACATTTTATAATAGTGATATATCTGACCGAAACGTTATGTATTGGTATTTTCTTCTTGGACAACCACTTCAGATGTGTTATCATGCGCATCTAAAATATGAATCATAGAAATAAGATAATTGTTCAAATATATCTAACAACCTAAATGTTTTAAAGTTACCTGGCTTACCTACAATATCAGCTTTAACTTCTTTGGTCAACTTTAATGATGAAATTTTGGTAAATTCTCTGATGAAACTTTATATCACGTCCCTTTGCCAAACGGTTTTGCGCGCCTTTTTACAACTTACAACAACGACAAGAACAAACATTTTCCGCGAGGTTTTCCAGAGATTTTCGATCAGATAACCTCACATCAACCACAACCACAGAAGATAACTGTCACGCCTGTCAATCGTCATATTTGCGCCTATAAATTAAATCATTATAATGTTTTTATTTCTGTTAAGATTATACCATATATCTGTCATATTATACCAGATTATACTCCCCTTTTTTATGATTATCGTCTACTTTAGAAAAAAAACGAGATAAATAGAAAAAATTAAATTTAAAATTTCTAATCATTTCTAATGTCATTTTAGAGACGTCCTGAAAATGTTTTATTTCGTCATCTTATGAATATCTTTAAAATGATGTCCAAAAGTTGTGTTATTTTAGTCTTTAGGCGTTAGGACCTAATTAAGATATAAAAAAGACGTCTTTAAGATATTATGTGCTGTCTGGGTAGTAATTAAATGTTTTATGAACATCTTCTAAAATTATAATTATGTACCTTTAAAACATTTCGTTATAGCCGAAATAGTCCCAATTATGCCCCACTAGCAAAACCAAAAAATTAAAACTATGCTCGTTACCGTAATTGAAATTGAACTGATCTAAAAAGTTTTTTAACTGGAATAATATATTATAATAAGTTAGACCTTCTAAAGATATCAAAATATTTCCTTTTTTTATTTTTAGAATTTTCACAAATTATACTTCCTAACACTTTTACAACAAATTTTTCGTATTCTCGCTATTTAAACCCGTGTATTTATAAGTAGGAGTTGTTTACGTTATTCTCCGATGGTGGCAGCACCGGCGGAGAGTGCACCAAGCCTATACACCTTTATAAAATATTAAAAACAAAAAATGCCTAAAATATATATGTTAGTACTAATTAGTACTGTTTTTTATTGAATAAATAGTTACATTAAATTTTCACGAAGGAAGCTGATGTATGATTATAGTTATTTAATTTAATAAACCATTTCCTGACGTTACCAGTAATATTTGCATTTTGAATATAACACACCAAAAATACAGGATTGCCATTGCACTACAAAAATTTATCTATGTAGTAATATTTTAATAACATTATAAATGTTTCAAATGTATACCGTGTGACAAAATAAAAATGACGTGAAATATATCGGTAAAGTTCGAATTATAAAGTCTAGGGTAATATGTTATATGTTTCTTAAATAAATGTTTTTGAAAAGTTCGTATACCGGGTGCGTCTCAAAAATAGCTCAGCCCTATAACTTTTTTATTTCTTTAAATAAAAAATAAATAAAAAAAACGAGAATTGATATGTAAGTATATGACATAAATTATGATTGATTGACGTAATCAATTGTTTTCTGTCACTTCCTATTTCACGGAAAATTACTACAACTTTTGATATTTAAATGGCACCCTGAATAGCGTGACATATGATATGTCAACTTTTGACATTCTTGCTTAAAAAATCCTATTTTAAATTCCAATCTAGAGTGCCATGGCTATGTTAAAAACTGCAATAAGGAGCCTTCGGAACATAGATTTGATCGTCTGTTTTACGCACTGTTTCTTGTCCTGGCCGGTTAAAAGATTACCAAATCGTATTTTTAACCATTTTTTTTCAAATAGAACAAGGGTGGCTCATTAGCATATATTAAAAAAGCTATATTTTTCTAAGAATAATTTGGTACCGCACACTTGGTATTTCGAGTCAAATTTATGGCACATTTATGACCAGGGCACTCTAAATTAAAATTTAAAATGCTATTTTTTTAATTCAAAACGTCAAAAGTTGACATATGCTATGTCATTCTATTTAGTCATTTTCTATCAAATTAAGCTAAAAAATACCAAGAATGTCATTTAAAAATCAAAAGTTGCAGTCATTTCCAGTGAAACAGGAAGTGGCCGAAAAGAATTGAATACGTGAATCAATCTAATTTATGTTATATACTAACATACCAAATCTGGTTTTCTTGTCAGCAAAAATAAAAAATTTATAGGGTGAGCCACTTTTGAGACGCACCCGGTATTTAAATTGTAGTTTTTTAATGTGGATCCAAATTTTAAATAAATGTGTATTTGGTAGATTTGTAAGTTTATAATATATACAGGTATTTTATTGTTTACCCTTGTTTATATAATATATTCCAAGGGGTGTCTCACTATTGGAATTACATGTACATTTTCTTGGCAGTCTTCTTCGTAGTCATCGGCAGTCGCTTGGCAGGAAAATTATATTTTGGCAGTACATGTACATTTTTACCTCAGTGAGACACCCCTCGATATATTCTTAGCATTTTACTTACTGTAGGAAACCAGGCATCTATGCTCAACGTATGCGTAAAATGATCCTAAAAACATGTAATCAACAGTTTTCATCCCAACGTACATTTTAAAAACTCACATAAGTAAAATACTTTAGCAATAATCGAAATGATACGGTTGTGGCGTTCCGATGATCTTTCACCGATCTTACGGAAGTATCATAGTCACATAGTAACGCTGATCTAAGTCTGGCAATTGTGGTGGATCCCGAACTATTGGGACAATTAAACCTTTCACTTTCGGCAATCACTGAAACAGATAAATTTCCTATTTTTGAGTCCTTCTATACTTCTTCCACTATCACAGTTGCCATCATAAATTAAACAAAAAAATACAGAACACCATACCTATCATAATCATTTATCAGAATACACTACCATTGTTATAGCGTATATTGGTCAAGATATTATTTACGGTAGTTGGCTGTGACATCTGAGTATTTGTATTCATTGTATCATGAGAGACATCCTTATGATACAATGAACAACTTTAAATAATTTTTATCCAGTTTTAAAAAATTAAACCATTTCATTACAAATTACTGAAATAAGCTAAAGTGTTTCCTGAAATGATTATGATTTTTTATATATTATGTTCAATTGCCTTAAACACAAACCTACTATACCGGGTGCGTATCCTATAACTTTTAATTTTTTCAGATAAAAAACGACATTTGGTATATTAATATATGCCATAAACTAGGATTGATTGACGTATTCAATTTTTTTGTCACTTCCTGTTTCGCCGGAAATGACAACAACTTTTGATTTTTAAATGGCACCATCGGTATTTTTTACTTTATTCGATAGAAATGACACTGAATAGAATGACATATCATATGTAAATTTTTGAGATTTGCGACAAAAATAGATTTTATCGTCCAATGTTTTTCGTGTCTTATCCTGACTGATTAAAAGATGTCCAAATCGTATTTTTATTCATATCTCAATTTTCTCAAATAGTACCAGGGTAGCTCACTATAGCTATTTGGAAAATGCATATTTTACGAATAATTTGGTACCACACACTTGGTATTTCTAAATTATTATAGTCAAATTGTCGTTATGAACCGCATGTTACAATTTCAAATAAACCATATGCGAAATATCTAAAGTTGACATATGATATGATATAAAGTAAAAAATACCGAGAGTGTCATTTAAAAATCAAAAGTTGTAGTAATTTTCTATGAAACAGCAAGTGACCAAAAACAATTGAATACGTCAATCAATCCTAATTTATGTCATACTTACACACCAAATATCGTTTTTTTTCTGAAAAAATAAAAAAAATTATAGGGGTGTATACCTTTTTTCAGACGCACCCGGTATATTATATATGTGTGTGTTTAAGGCTATTGTTAATACAACCCCCAAAAGAATTTTGCACGCCCCAAAGAATATATTTTATCATACAAGTTTATTATTTTATAATACCGTATGAACGACAAAAAGCGGCGTCCAGTTGGTTTAGAAATGATGCTCGATAACATTTTGATAATAAAAGATGGATTATTAAAAAAATTATATTTTTTGAGTCAGAGGCGCATATACGGGAGGGTTAATGGGGGTAATTACCCCTCCCAGAATGAAATTTATAACTAAGAAAATCTGTTATAAAATAAAATTGTCAGAAAATAAATTAATAATATCCTTTGAATAAGAAAACTAAGGAAGGAGCATAATGCTATCCATGTATTCATGCATGGTGGGCGGAAAAAGGACTCTATGGTGGGGATCCTTGACAGTTCTGTTTAACGATTCATTTGACACATTTGAATTTGATTTGAAATTTTGTTGATTTGTCAGTCTTTACGGAGCTTATTTTATGTTATTTGTTATTTATTCTACTACTGATAGTTGTATAAAGGTAGTAAATCTAGATGGAAATTGTGGCAGAACTTAAATTAACAGTGACACTATCGCGATTTATCGAAAAAGACTCTAAAATAGTTGGTTGTGTAGCGTGCGGTAGATCTCGGCAAAAATCGAGTGAAATAATGGAACAACTTTTCGCTAGTAAGTGACTATATAATATACATACGTGTAGTAAACCGATCATTTATGAAATTCACTTAAATTAACTAATTATATATTTTTTCCTTGCATTTTTGCTTTTATTTACTACTTGTCAAAGATTAGATGTCAAAGAATTTAGATACGTCAATTTAATTTACCAGATTTACCTGCTTCAGTAGCGTATCGGATGTTTGTGTTAATAAATAATTATTATAACTTATCTATTTTTATTAAAATTATATATTTTTGTAACAATTTTAATAACTACCAACATTTATTCAACGTCAAATAAAACAACATATTATTGAGTCTACCCCACGTCTACCCTACATTATAGTTTTACATTTTTTAAATAAAATTAGAACGGCACTGATAAACCGGAATTTAAGTCGGCCATATTTGAGGCCCATCGCGGTGGACCTAAGATTTTTGATATGCTCCTTCCTTAATATCAATCAAAATACACACACACTTTTGACCGTAACCTATTACTTTATTTAAATATTGCCACTACCCCTCCCAGACTCAATCTCTGGATGCGCCACTGTTTTTTTTTTTTTGAGTTTATAGTATTTCAAATTGTTTAACGGTTTTGCAAATATTCGCTTTTTTTATTACATAAGGCTCTTTCAACGATAAAATACCAACTGATATTGACACAAGATACAGATTTTGAAATACTTTGAATTCAAAAAATATTCGTTTTTAACTATTTTCCATCTAACAAAGGAATACTATAGAGGGTGTTCCATTTAAAAAATCATCCCGATCCATTCACACTTTTTTGAGCCACCCTGTAGAAGTTAAAATATTTTCTTGAAATACATCCTAACACATACTTTAGGTTGGCACTTACAAAATTCCTATTTTTTTATTATAGGGCCTACAGATGCCCGACGCACTGTTTGGGGGCCGTATGAAGCATTAGGAACGACTTGAATCGTGGCAACCCCTATTTTTCATAAGCAACTTTTTCATAGATACCCTTATAAAATCATGCACAGAATAAAAATAGATTTAATTTGAGATATAAATGATCAAAAAATTTTATGAACGTAATGTCGTCTCCAAAAACAGTTATTATTATTATTAATTAAATATATTACGGCAACTTTTTGATTGGAACCCTGTTAATATTAAGTGCATTTCCTTATTAATAAATATACAGGGTAGTGCGAACTGTATTCCGGAAACTTCGGCAGCATATTCTGCAGATAAAAATAAGTAAAATAGTTCGTATAAAGGTATGTCCTAAAATGCTTAGTTTCAGAGATACAGGGTGTAGAAGTTTCATTTTGATTTAGATTTTTTCCAAATAATTTCTGTGAAGTAACGTGAATATTTGGATGAAAATTGGTGTCTGGAAGTTTTTTTGGCATGAGAAATTTGATTTTGATGTCAATATGCTTCCTATTTGTAGGGGGTGCCACCTACATGTGTTTCAACTGTTTTGAACAGTAATAACTTTTCGTCCGTACCTGTATAAAACTACTGAATTAAAAATATACATTTCCGTGACTTTTTACGTAAAAAATGTCTCTTGGTAAAAATCGCTGCGAGCAACCGTTCTCAAGATATTTAGAATGTAAATAGTCAATACATGTTATTATTGCGAAAAATAAACACGGTGAGTAGATAGTTATTTCACTGAAATAATAAAATTTGGAAAATTTTTATTTTTTTTAAATTAATCATAAATTTTCCTGCAAAAAATGACGATAAAACAGTTTCTGTTGAACTTTTAGCACAAAAACATTTCAAGTTTATGATTTCAGTCTAATAACTATTTAGCCAACGTGTTTAATTTATGTCAATGATGACAGGTATTGATAATTTCGATTCCAAATATCTCGAAACCCATTACTCGTAGTGATTTTTACCAAGAGAATTTTTTACATAAAAAGTCACGGAAATGTATATTTTTTAACTCAGTAGTTTTATACAGGTACGGACGAAAAGTTATTACTGTTCAAAACAGTTGAAACACATGTAGGTGACGCTCCCTACAAATAGGAAGCATATTGACATCAAAATCAAATTTGTCATGTCAAAAAAATCCCAGACACCAATTTCCATCCAAATATTGACGTTACTTCAGAAATTATTTGGAAAAAATCGAAATAAAAATGAAACTTCAACACCCTGTATTTTCGAAACTAAGCATTTTAGGACATACATTTATACGAACTTTTGTACTTATTTTTATCTGCAGAATATGCTGCCGAAGTTTCCGGAATACAGTTCGGACCACCCAGTATATACGGAAAAATTAAGTTTTGATTAAAAATATGTTAAATTAGTTTCCAAAAATGTAATAATATATCGGATGTTCCATTTAAAAAAAAAGGTGCCACCTTTCAATTGATGCGGCAACACTGTGACGCTGAAAATAGTTTATATAGTTATACAGATGGAGTCTGTCTTTATGTAAAAATTAATGTCTAACTTTCCCTCGTTATTTCTTAATCAACCTATATTTTGTAAATTATACTAAGATAAATAATGTAAAAAGTGGTAAGGAATGAAATGCATAGTATAAAATAGGTATTGAAAGCTAAGTACTGTCACTTTACTTTGAATTGTGATAGACATGATTCAGTATTGATACTAAAAGGATTTTAAAGTTCCAAAAAAGCTTTATTTAATTTAACTTACTCAACGTTTCCTGTCAGATGTATCATTGAACGAAACGTTGTATAAGTTAAATAAAATAAAAATATTGGAAGTTCGTAATTGTTTTACTAAGTACTGTCAGTTAACGTACACCCCTAAGAAGAACCGCATAGTTAGTAATCTTGGACACTTATTTGATATCTGCTGTCCTTGGTTTTCTTTATAACTATAATAACCATAGTTGTGTACAATACATACACATATTTAAATCAATCACTCACCTAATCCGGAAGCGAGGAGAACCAGCACAATGAAATGGTACATGTTCGCGTACGATTGTCACTATACTGAACAGAAAAACAACGCTCTGCTCCAAGTAAAACAATACTTGAAAATGCATCCACCCCTCAGACAAACCGGGTTTAACAGAAATTTAATCGACTTATTTGAACAACACCTACTGCTCTAATTTCATTATTTTTCTAAAGAGAGACCCTCATTTTGTTTTCTTTGAAAAATATATGAAATGTCGCAGAGATTTATCCGTATCAAATATAATAGATATTATTTCAAAAAATTCAAATAACTAAAAAAGAAACAAAGTAACTCTTTTATTTGTCCTTTTTATGAGTACAGTGACTAAAATATTCTATACATATACTTTTTATAATTTATATCATATCAGAAAAATTGCCCGAAAATAATTGGTCGAAGGAAAATTGACCAAAAGCCAATCACCGAAACAAAGATTGTCCTAATAAAATATTTTACGAAAATATAATTCTTTTAAAAACATTTTACCAGACACAGAGTCAGTGAAAAGGGAAGAAAAACTGTTACCTGTTTTTTTTAATATGTCGTTTGTTTAGTTTTTATTTAATGGACCCTATATTAGAGCAATCTTTTGCCAAAAATCGACATTTCTGGAAATGTTTATTTCTGTCAACCGTTTCCTGTCAATATTTATTTTCGGGTAATTTTCTTTTCGGTCGATTGTTTTCGGGTAATTCTCCCTCGCTCAATTGTTTTCAATGTTTCAGTTATAATTGCTTCAGTTCTTTGTATTTTTTTAAAACAAAGTTCTAAACAACTATGAACCTTAAATACTGCATTACTGTGAAGATTTCAATAATTAAAGCATTATTTAACTGTATGATATATTACAATGAGTATTATCTAAAAACCTTTCTCATATATCTCATTTTCTCTAGTATGTATCGTAAGTAGAAAAGGAAAACTTCTAAATAAGTAATTAAAACACAAATCGGGTGTTTGTATTACATTCATATATTGCTAATACCTTAAAAAATAACCATATGGCTAAATTCTGGGTATTTGTCAAATAACTATAAATATCTAATGTTAATGGGGGTTGTGGCGGGTTTGCTTGTAAAGACCGACTAAAACCATTACCCCTGTTTTTCTCTGTCTCAGGTGAGGTTGGAACTGCCTTAAGACATTACATCAACCTCATGTATCCTCTATTGCTTATGTCTATATTTTTCCTCCTATCTTTTTCTTCATTATATTTGTCATTAGTCTGCTGATACTTTTCCACTCGTTCTCGCCTAGAAGGACTTCTGCTACATTGTCTTTCGTAATTGTATGCCCATTCGCGTTGTACGTTTGTACCCAGTGTGCTTCAAACTTTGGCCATACAAACAATGTGTATCCTCGGGTAACAACCATTTCTACACAAAACGAACAACATGCATCCTACTGTTTTTTTTATTCTTTGCAGGTATGAGCCAAAGACCCCATGTCCAGCCGTAACTTGTGATGTATAAAAATTCATCTTACCACATTTTCTTTCGCACCATTTTCTAATATCTTTGATGAAAGTCTTGACCCACCTTTGATATCCATGCCATCTTGTTTGCCACTGTACGTAAGTAACCTGCTTGGTCCCGTTCTTCCACCAGCAGTTCTATTTCTATTGGAGCCATTCCTGCGAGAGCTGTAACTGCTTCTCTTGAAGCGGTTCTGTAAGCCGATATGATGCTTATTGCCATTCTACGGTTAAGTCGTTCTAATAAACAGTGGCGGCTCATCAGATGCAGTAGGTGAAGGGGCACTTCACCGAAAAAATTACTCAAATTAAAGAAATAACTTTACTGTTTAAAATATTAATTTAGTTTAATATATTTACATGCATCTAAATAATAAAATGGTATTTTTTTATAAGTTATTTATTAATTATTTTCCGGGCGGACCTCTGCATAATAGCTCCACCGCATCGTTAATTCCGGCCGAAAAACGTGACGTCAGCCTAGCGGCAAATGTAAATCCCCACGCCCCGTAGGTTTATTATCGGCGACCGATGTACTTGTATCTAGCCCCAGCAAGCAACTATTAAGCACGACCAATCACGTTAGAGTTTTTAAAATACACAAATGAATTAATACCCTCCAAATAACCACGCTAACCAACCTGATTGGTCAAGCTTAATAGTTGCCTGCTGGGGCTAGACACTTCTGACCGATGTGAATAAGTTTTTGGTTTTGGGCATTTCTCTTCTTCTTCCTTTTGTTCAGGAAATGCGTGACGGCGGCGCATAATTTATGCATTTATGCTAATATTCGTCTACTTCGGCGAGTAATTAACCGTGTAAAGACTGTAAAGTTGTTGTTGTTACTTATTGTTTGTCAATGGATTTTGTTGATTTAACTTGTTAATTTTTGCCGATATTTGCTGTTTGTTTTGTTGTTGTGTTTTAAAACTGTTTTGTGTGTGTATGTGTTAAAAAATGAACCCAATTAATGAATTGGTGTACAATTTATTGGAAACTCCCTTCAGACGGTGGACAGATGAAGATAAGAGGGATGTTTTATCTCAAGGGCGACCAACTGACACTTTAACCATAAATTGCAAAAAAGAAATAAGAAAAAGTGGTAAATCTTATAATATTAAATTTAAGTCTTCCTGGTTTTCTGATTTTAATTGGCTATGTAGTAGTATTGTTTTACAAAAATTATTTTGTTGATCGTGTTTACTATTTTCTAATAGACATTTGGAATAAAGAAGGGTTCACCGATTTCGTAAATTTAACAAGATCTTTGCATAAACGCGGGGATTCTGCAGAACATTTAAAATGTCAGTTAAAGTTAAAAAATTAAAAAAATCAAAATACAATAGCTGATGCTTTAGAAAAAAACGTTCGACTCTATAAGCTTAATTTTAATGAAAATCTTCGTTTAAATAGACTTTAATGAATATAATTAATTAAATGACGATATTATTGATAAGTTTGCATAAATAAAGAACAGAAAAATTGAGCTTATTTACAAAAATTAGTAAGGTTAGTAATATAAATAAGTCAAATTTATTTTGGTTAACATTGCTTAGTAAAACATTAATGTAATAATAATTAATGTAATAATTGAATGGCTCCTCGGTTGTAACCAACAATTTTTTCAATATCGAAATTTCAGTGACGAAACCCAGGATAAAACGCTATACCTATGAAAATTACGACCTTATTTCACTGAAATCTCTATTTTGAAAAAATATCGGTTACAACGTTTTTCGAGGAAGCCATTCAATAATTATAGTGTTCGCCATAAAGTTGGATCCATATGGACGGTTTTTTTGGTATTAGAGTTTAAAAAAACTTTTTGTGGCTATCATTTCTGCTTTAAAACAACTTAAAATGCACCAAGTCAAAGTTGAAACATAATTTTGTTAGTTACTTTTTTTAAATAATAATAATTTAACCAATTTTTAAAAATTTCTTTTAAATATTTTGTATTTGACTGATCCCAGATGTTAGCTGTCAACTTTGGCTTGGTGCATTTTAAGTTGTTTTCAAAGTAGAAGTGATTGCCACAAAAATATTTTTAAAAACTCCATATGGATCCAACTTTATGGTGGACACTGTATATAATGTTTATTATATTTAATTTAAATTTAATTGTATTTTCACCGGAATGCAAAATAATGTGTTTATCGAAAACTGGTTGTATCTCTTTTTACTTAATGCGTTTTAGCCCAAACTAAAACGAAAATATTATAGGTATTAGTGTATAAATAATAACAAAAAAAATGTTAACAAAATGCCAAATGCAGCAAAAAATTTTCAAATATTTTAAGAAATGTTGACAAAATGGTGAATGCGCCAAAAAAAATTTCGCCTGCAGGGCGATTTAAAAAAAATTAACTCTTCACCTAATTTTTTACCCACGAGCCGCCACTGCTAATAAATCCCGATAGGATTTAAACTTTAGCACCGATTTCCAAACGAGTCAAAGAAAAGATTTGGACAGACGACATCCAAAAAATGACAACATTCAATTTACCTGTTAATTAAAATGACAGACAACACTGTCACTGTTGGGTATCCTCTCATTGCATAAACTATATATATTAAGATTCTATACTAATACTAATATTAATACTATATTACTCACACTAAAAAAAGTTGCGTACAAAATCTCCAAAAATGTCCTATGGGTATTTCGCCACTGTATGTTTTGTCCGTTAAGCAAATTTGTTTATTAGTAAATCACTGATGACAAGCTGATCTCCGTTGGATTAACGCAGCAGTGTTTACAAAAAATAACTATTTTATTTTGTAGATTTTCTTACAGTGGCGAAATACCCATGGGACTTTTTGGAGTGATAAATCCGCCACAGAAGTATAAACATTTTTTATCTTGTTAAAATTATTACCTTGATTTCTATTTTTCACTTTTCGTTTTGTTATTTATTTAATATATCTGAATATTGTCGCATTGTCGCCAAATAGTCCTGATACTAACATGGCTTTATGACTCAGATGCAAAAAAAACGCAACAAAAATATTTTTCGTCAAATTTAAAGTAGTATGTTATACAGGGTGAGTTTTAAAAAATGTCTATACCTATGTGGCGGATTCATCTATCCAAAAATATCCTTATGGGTTTTTCGCCACTGCACTGCAAGAAAAATCTACAAAATAAAATAGTTATTTTTTGTAAACACTTCTGCGTTAAATCTAAACGGACGCTGCTTGTCAGAAGTTGTGTTTACAGTAATAAAAATTTGCCTAACAAAGAAAAAAATGCTTAACGTTTCGGAAAGTTTTCTCTTTCCGTCGTCGGAAGCAAAAAAATATAAAGAATCAAGAAAAAAACTATTTAAAATATTTAAATTGAACTATTCGAGAACACTTTACTTTTTAATACAGATACTACAAGAAATCGTTGACGTTCTGTTAAAATGTAATGTAAAGTTATAATATAATGTCATTTTAACAGAACGTCAACGATTTCTTGTAGACGTATCTGTTTTAAAAAGTAAAGTGTTCTCGAATAGTTCAATTTAAATATTTTAGTTTTTTTTCTTGATTCTTTATATTTTTTTGCTTCCGACGACGGAAAGAGAAAACTTTCCGAAACGTTAAGCATTTTTTTCTTTGTTAGGCAAATTTTTATTACTGTAAACACAACTTCTGACAAGCAGCGTCCGTTTAGGTTTAACGCAGAAGTGTTTACAAAAAATAACTATTTTATTTTGTTGATTTTTTTGGCAAAATGTATATTATAAATACTACTAATTGCCCTAGAATTTGATATCTATAGAAGAAATGCCACTACTTGCAGATACATTCCTAATGAGTCATATCATAGTGTTGAACATAAGATGGCTAGTTTAAATTTGTTAGTTCATAAATTACTTAGTTTGTCACTTACAAACGAAACCATTTTTTTACCGTAACTTTAAAACACCTTTGCAATAATTTTGTGAGCAAATTTTCCTAAAACATTATTTTTCTGACAATGTCTCCTGAGCATTTTGTTGTTTTTTTTGATCATTTCAAAACATGCCTTGGTTATTTTTTAAGAGCGAAATTAATTTGCCACCAACAACTTTCGATTATCATTACTTTTTTATGTTATTTTTCAACATGACGAGGTGGCTTTGGTGACTATTGTCGTAATGTCATATTACCTTGCGTTAGATACTCTACACTAAGTTAAAAAATGTTAAGTGTGATGTGTGTGTTATGTGTAAGAGTAACATATAGTCCTGGTTTTAATAAAAAAAATAATAACTATAACAATTAAAACTAACGATATTAAAGAAAACATCTGTAATAATAAAGTATATCAAACAGAAAAAAACTTGTAAAAATACCCTAATACTTTGTATCGCCTCCCTGGACTGCTATTGATACGCGAAAGCTCTGCCTGTAGACGTACGTCCACTGTCAATGAGGCTGCATAAATATCTTACGTTGTTTTCCCATTCTTCTTTAAGAACTCAGCGAAGGACTCAGTTCATAGTAGTATATAGTTCACGTTCACAATAATCACCAGTCACCTCGTCATATTGAAAAATAACATCAAAAAGAAATGATTTTGAATTGCAAATTGTTAGTGGTAAGTTTATTTCGCTTTTAAAAATTAACCAAGACATGTTTTGGCATGATCCAAAAAACAAAATGCTCAGGAGACAGTTCTGAACCAAATATAGTGTTTTAGGAAAATGTACCTACGGGATTATGGCACAGGGTTTTTAGGGTAAAAAACAACTCTTCAATTAACCCTTTATAATAAGCCAAATACTAAAATTTATAAAAAACTGAATTTATGAATTAAAGTTGATATATTTGTAGAAAGTTTGCTAAAAAATCATTAAAATATGACTAAAATATAACACTTTAAATTTGACGAAAAAATTCTCCGTTGCGTTTTTTTTTGCATATGAATGTATAAAATTATATTTTTTATTATCTATCTACAAATTTGTGTGCTTCTCTCCCAAAAATGTAATCCATACTGATAAACTGATAGACAACTTATTCAGTACTATCTGGTCAGCTTACTCAGTCTTAGCTTTTTTTTGAGTTAGCTATTGTTTTTAAACACCTACCCAAGACTTCGATTACCGATTGGGTAAACAAGATGATATTGAGTTTTGGAATAACATCAAATATTTAATTTATATTTTAGTTTATTTAATTTATAAATGTGTGTCAAAATGAATTTGAAGTATTTTACTGTAAATATTGGTTGTTCTGATCATAAATTAAAAAACATAATTAATTATTAGGAAATATAGGGAATTAAATAAACAAACATTCTTGGATCCATGATTTTTTATTAAGCAACTTTACACATAAGCCTCTTGTAGTCTGTACAGAAGGTAATTTTCTGTATAATTAATTTAGCTTCTGCGATCATCAAAATTATTTCATTTTATATTTTAGTTTATCACAATATACACTACAACTAAATATAACCTTAAATATATAAATAAAACATTTATCTAATAAAAAAATCTTAACAGAATTTAATATACACAAATACATGAACATGTCTAACAACAACATATAAATTAAAATATTGTCATTATCGCGCACGCGTCTCAATAAATATAACTTGTCATGACCGAGGAAGTTTATGAGACAGGACCTTTTTATGTACAGAATATTACAGGTTGTACAGACTCCAATTTGTAAAGTAAAAAAAATATACAACAACGCCGTCTCAATAAAACTGAAACGACAATGTATTAAAGTACATGCGTCAATCTATCAGTGCTTTATTTTATTTCCATTAATCCTTAATCATATAAAATAACATGAATACATTTATAACCATTGCATATAAAGACTAAGGGAGGAGTTTAATACCATTTTTATATTCAAGCATTAGAAAAGAAATAGACGCGACGTTATGATACCTTATCAGTTTTGACTTTGTTATTAGTTTTATGCAATGTGACAAAATTAGAAATAACATTGTGTCAGAACTCGATGTTGCATTTTCGCTTCTATTTACAACTTATCAAAAATATAATTAGAATACTATACGTCAATTTGTCTTGGTTGTTTCAGTAGAGTAATACATATTAGTGTTATTAAATAATCATCATTTATTGGCTCAACCTAAAACAAAAATTATTGAGTCTACTTAATTTTAAATAAAATTAGAACGCCACTGATAAGCCGGAATATAAGTCAGTCATATTAACATACCTATGCTGATTTGTTGATAATATATATACTCTTTCCTTGGTCTTTTTACTCAATAAATAAATATATTTTATAATATATTCTGTTATTCTTAGACTTCTATACAGTTTACATGATCTAAGGCTGTATTAATATTGTAATCATTGCACCACAACTTTAGCATATTTGTTGTTTTATTTTAATTGATAATTATTATTTTTACTACAAAATGCAGGTAATATCAAATCTGTCTTTAAACCTAATTATGTATAGAAGTTCATAATGACAGTACAGAATATTTTATTAGTTCTTTATATTATATCACAATAAAATAACGTTTGGCAGTAGTATAGCCCCAGGTTTAGCTGTGCTTATAGCAGTGGCGTGCAGTGCTAATCAGACCAGGGTAGGCAAAAATTGGTATAAGTAATGATAAAATAAAAGTAGCATAAGTAATTAATTAATTATTATACTAATAACTTTTTTCTCTAAATTTTGGGAAAATGTTTCATATTTGGCACCGATCGGCACTGACCGAACTAATTACGCGTGACTTCATCATTCTATTTCTTTCTTACACATTGGCCTTCCAGTAACTGCAGTCTGCAGAGTACGTGATTCGCAAAGACACAGCCTTTACATTCCCGTTAGAGCCAATATAATGTAAATGAATCCGCCTTCGCGTAAATCATATGAAGCGCCTTTTTGACAAATATTAGATGAGAATTGACCCATAACACAGTAGTTGAGAATAATTTCAATTTATATTATGTACTCTCTAGAATAAAAATAAGATAAAAAAATGCTTACTGCTAATATTTGTGGGATTATTAATGATCTAAATGTAATTACGTAAAAAAAACAAATTTTAAGATTTTGTCTGGGTAGGCAACGCTTTTTTGCGTACATTAAATGCACGCCACTGGCTTGTGGTATTTAAAAAAAATAGTTTTATATAATTTTTTAAACTTTTTTTTATATAGAAAAGCTTTTCTATATTTAAAGTGACAGAATGGTTTACAGAAAATTGCATGCAATTTACTATTAAATATGCCTTAGGGTACAAATTACAAGAAAAAAAATATAGGATTTAATTTTTAATTTGCAATGTAATTACTTCTATTCTTAAACACACTATGTAAAATGCAAATATTAAAACTCCATTTTTGAGCAGTTTTAAAGACGCATGTACCTTTTCATCTTAAAGCAATTAAATAAAAAAGAAGACAAAAGTTTGACATTAAAAAATACATATACCCTAAATAGGTAAATTATCAGTCTACTACTTTTTACTATCTTATATGACTTTGATAAAGACATTATGCCTTTACACTATATACACAGAAAATAAATCATTTACAATACACGTTTGCATTGCAAAACAGCAGTGTTTCTATAGAAAATTAATTCGTTAATTATTCTATTTTGGGACACACCATCAGTCAGTCAGGTTCACTCTACAATCGTATCAAAGTGTTAATTATTTTGTTTAGTTTCCTTGTCGTCCATAAACATAGTCCTTTTGTACCTAAAAACACTTCACACATATATACGTTCACTGTTTACTTTTTTCATTAATTTTCCTTCTCCCGACGTTACTGTTGATACAGTGATTGTCGCCGACCAGTGGCGTGCCACAAAAAGAGGCTGAATGATATACAAAAATGAGCAGTGCACACTAATTAAACACATCTATTTGGAATGCTTAAAAGTCACTTTATGACACTGATTTAAATTTTGCTCCGGGCTTTCACTTGGTCGGGTAAGGATTTATTACTGTAACGGCTGCCGCCTGTTGACTAGCTAGTACAGTAGCTGAAAACAACAAAATAGCATTAATATTTTATCACTTCGATTTCTTCAATCTTAGGATACCTACATAGTAAGGCATCCCGATACGCTGCTCGCCGCGATGCATTCTACGCGCACTTACTCGCCGTTTTAAAACAGTGCTTAAAACGTGCGCGTAGGATGCATCGCGGCGAGCATCGCATCGAGAAGCCCCACTATTTTTGTACTCTTACACTACTTCGATAAACACTGAGCAGCAAAAGATGCAAGAAACGATTTTTTTTAATATTGAGATATGAAAAAATAATTTATATGGAGTCAATTGAAGTATACTTAATAAAGAAAATCTGTTAACATTACGAGGTGAAGAATATTTCTCAAAAAAAATCATTATAATAAAATAAATTATGAGTATTTCGACAGTAATGAAACACTTCCTTAAACTATTACACTGTGCTTTTTGTGTTTTTTATATAGAATAGCATTTAGGGTTGTTATAATAGGAACATGTAGAAAAAGAAAACCATGCTATGATATTTGTCATAATGTGATATCATCACAACAATCAAGAAGTACCAGCAGTCAAACCAAACTTATTTTTCATAACTTTTGTAAAACTGTTCAATACATAGACTTAAAATAAATATAGACTGAGCATCTCATTCATAAATAGCTGGAAAATGCGGTCAGACAATGTCTTGTTATTGTTGTGTTATTGTTTTAGGCTCTAACGAGTGCGACACGAGCGATAGATAGGTTGTCTCCGTCGTAACGGTCGTTCCCTGCCGACTCTGACGAAAAATGCAACACAGTCTTTCGTTCCTCAGTACACCTGAACTCTCCGTAGCATAGCCGGGTATTTTTTTAATTTTTAATGAAGCTATAATTAAATTTAAAATATATCCTATTTAACTTTTTAAGATTTAGGAGAGGTTTTTTAAATAAAAGTTTAGAAAAAAACGTCCAAAAACGATAAAAATAATAAAATACCTGTTATAGAAAAATTTTTAATAATCGAAATTACGTATTTAATTTTTGAAATTAATAATAAATTATTAATTTTAGTCAAACATTATCTAAAAATAAAAACAGGAACTATTCTATAGATATAATAGAATCGGCGACATGGAAACAGAAAAAACTTCATGATTGTTGTAATTCTTTTTCTGGTAAGTGATGTCTTATTATGTAAATTAGAGAAAAGCAAGCTTTTAGGAAGTGGATAAAATGAAAACTACATTTATTTAACTCGGTACTGTCTTTATTATACCGGCTGCGTCCCAAAAGTGGCTCACCCCCATAATATTTTTATTTTTTCAAATAAAAAACAAGATTTGGTATATTTGGTTTCTTGTAGACGTATCTTTTTTAAAAAAAGATTTGGTATGTTAGTATATGACCTAAATTTTTTGACATAGTTTTTGTTCATTTTCTGTTTCACTGGAAATGACTATAACTTCTGATTTTTAAATGGCACCCTAGGTATATCTATACTTTATTCGATATAAAATGCCACTCTGAATAGAATGACATATCATATGTCAACTTTTGACATTTTCGCATATGATTTAATTGAAATTGTAACACGCGGTTCGTAACGACAATTGGACTCGAAATACCAAGTATCAATATATTCATAAAAAAAATGCTTTTTCGAAATATGCTAATGAGTCACCCCTGTTTCATTTGAAAAAATTGATATATGATTAAAAATACGATTTGTGTAGCTTTTAACCAGCCTAGACAAGACGAAAAATGAAAAACGACCAAGACGAAAAACATTTTTCCAAGGCTCCTTGATTAAAACATAGTGTTTTTAACACCACCATGGCGCCCTGGATTGAAATTTAAAATACGATTTGTTTTTAAGCGACAATATCAAAAGTTGACATATGATATGTCATTCTATTAATAATAATTAAAAATGATTCATTTATGTCATATACCAACATACAAATCTATTTTTTTTTATCTGAAAAAAATAAAAGTCATAGGAGTGAGCCACATTTGAAACGCACGGACGCACCCGGTATATTAAAAAATAATGTTTCATAATGTAATATAATTTTAAAATTTATCTTGTATAATAACAAGGTAATAATTATGATTTTGTTACAAACACTTTTATATAAATGATTATGTAATAGAGAAAATTCTATTCTATTTCTATATTCATAAGCTTTCTACAACAACGCCACTGACTCCCAATTGATAAATTAAGAGTTGCCTACCGGTCGAAAGTCGTTTCGAGACTCAAATGGATTATTTGAGTCAAATTTTTTGCAAAGTTGGCATTGGCGAACCATATTTTATAGGTCTAGAATACAAAAAGTAAATAAAATAAACATTTAAGGACTACAAACTAAGAAAATGCAATAATACAGCCAGAGAGAAGTAGCGGCAACAATGCTTTACTACACACATGCGACGCGTACTACAAGATAATAGAAGAATGAACAGGCGACCTCGCCTCTAATCGGTGTTGCCATGTTGTAAAGGATTTATCCTTTTTACATAGTATTCGACTTATAATTAAGTAGTATAAGGACTATTTAATACATCTATGGAATATTAAAACATACTTTATTAAAATGCAGTATTAATATCTTAATATATGTGTATAACAAGTAAAAAAATATTGATAATATTAAAGACGTGACAACATAGGCTAGACGAGGAAGGTTTGGTCGGCTGCGGTCGAGCATACCCAGAAGTAAACATGTGTACAAACATGATTGTTGGACCGCGTTTAGATGTAAATAGTGTAGTCTATATTTTATTTTAAGTCTATGGTTCAATATGAATAAGTTGCACCTTTTAATGTGTTCTCTAGAAACATGTGTTCTACATACAGTTTTATACTTTATAAGTTTCGTATAAAAATTAGATTACAGTTGAGGGTTGGAACCTTTGGTGTTACACAGCAAAATAAAAACACTAAATCACCACAATACACCAAAACATTACAGTTGAGGGTTGGAACCTTTGGTGTTACACAGCAAAATAAAAACACTAAATCACCACAATACACCAAAACACTTTTACTTTTACACTGGACGCGCGTTTCGCTAACCATGTTAGCATAAAAGTAAAAGTGTTTTGGTGTATTGTGGTGATTTAGTGTTTTTATTTTTATTTTTACACCAAAACACTTTTACTTTTACACTGGACGCGCGTTTCAGAAGTAAACATGTGTACAAACATGATTGTTGGACCGCGTTTAGATGTAAATAGTGTAGTCTATATTTTATTTTAAGTCTATGGTTCAATATGAATAAGTTGCACCTTTTAATGTGTTCTCTAGAAACATGTGTTCTACATACAGTTTTATACTTTATAAGTTTCGTATAAAAATTAGATGAAAATCTTTTGCTCATAATTCATTCTTATTTTTAATTTTTATGATATTGAAATATTTAACTTACCTCCATATGGACCTGGATACATGGGATAGCTGAGTCCTACATGGGTGTGGTGATGAGTATGTACATGTCTCTGAGGCGGGGGTGATCTGGAGTCCTTGTTCTCTCCAGGAGTTTGTTTTCCATTCGAAGGAGCCGTTGTACTCGGCTGACTGGTAGGAGGAACGCTAATTTGAGCGGGACTTTGTCCAGTAGGCGGCGGATTATTAGTCGAGGGACTTGAACTGGCCACTGAAGTTTTAGGAGTTGGAGACTTGATAGCTCTCTCTTGCAGTTCGTGAATTTTGTGGGAAGAATAATACTGCGCGTGATGCTGAAGCATATCCAGCGTCTTGTTAGGGGGTTGGGCTCGCGAAAGGTCTTCTGGAGCGTGATACCGAGGTATCTGTGGATGTAGATACGGAGTACTGCTATAGGCTCCTGGAACCATGAGGCCACGATACACCGGATGGCTGGGGTCGAAAGGCAATGCGCCATAATGGGCTGACTGCATATAACCTGGGTGAATGTAGGCGTATTGTGAAGTAGGAGGAGGTGGAGGTCCTTGCGTTTCCATTGTAGGTTTTACACCCTCCTGCTTAATGTCCTTTTCTTTCTTATCCTCTATCTTAACTTCTTTAGACTTCATATTAGGACTGGGTGGCACCGCCATCTTATTTAATGAAGGATTATTTTGCTTACCAAGATCAGAAAGTGCTTGCTGCTGTAGCTGTTGCTCTTTTAAAATTTCTCCTTTTCGTCTTTGCTGTTCATAGGCATAATATCTTCTCGCATCTTCCTCGCGATGACCATGATGCTGAGATACCTGTTGCGGCTGCTGTTGTTGAGGAGGTTGGGGCGGCGGTTGACGGGAATACATGTACGGATTCATTTGGTTTTTAATTTCGATACTTTCTTTAATAATCTGATGATTTTCGTTTTGATGTTTGTCTTTATTCTCCGTCTGTTTTGGTTTTCCCGGTATAGGAACTTGAATGGGATTGGGAATTGGCGCCGGCTGCTTTACAGGTTGCTCTATAGGACTCGGACTTTCCTTCACTCTGTCTTCCTTATGTTTGTCATCCTGCTGAATAGGAACACTTCCATAATTTGGATCCATATTATACGGATATCCTGGCATGTAGTATGGATAATAATGCTGTTGAAGCATTTTCGGAGGATATTCTGAACCCTCTTTCTTTCCCTCTTTCTCACTCTGAGATTTATCTACCACTTTCTCCGATTCTTTGGGTTTGTTTCCAGGTTCTAACTGTTGCTGCTGTTGATTGGGAACAATATATTGATGCTGTTGCGTAGAATAGAAAGGGAAAATGCCATACTGGCTCATATGAGGAAGCGCCTGCCCGCTGTCAGTATTCTTGTCTGAATTTTTATTTTTGTCCCCGTCAGACTCCACAGGAGCACCGTCATCAGAAATATCTGAATAAGCTGGACTTTGGACTTCATCACGGCCACTTTGATCTAACCCGAATACCGGTTGGTCGGCTGGACTCGGATGAGGACTTCCAGCGGGAGACTTGCGATTTTTCTTCTTAAAACTTTGAGGTTTCTGTAAATTAGCACCGTTTTGAGGTTGAGGTGGTTGGGGCATCTGTTGAGATTTCTTATCCTCAGGCATTAGGGCCGAGGTAGGTTTAACCTTAAACTGAGACAATTTTACAGCTTGAGTGGGCGAAGGTGGGGGATGCTGATGAGGGGACAACTGTGAGTTGATTTGGGGATTGGAAGTATTCTGATTTTGGATGATAATATTTGGTGGCTGGCTAAAGGGTTGTGGAGAAATATGAGATTGTAATTGATTAGCAAAAGATTGCGGCTGCACGATTTCCTGCTGAGCAGGTACTTGATCGGTAACAGGAGCGCTTGGTCGACTTGATATGAGTTGACTGGTGTTCGTTATAGGAGAAACGACTGTAAAAAAAAAGACAATATATATAAATAGCAGACGATATAATACAACTTAAATTTTTCTCTTACCTTGAACTGGAGGTTTTACACTCGAAGAAAATAGGCCTACTCCTCCGGGAGGTGCAGAATATTCTTCGGAAGAACCATATCGAAGAATAGCCGGCTTAACCACTGCCTGTGGTTTTCCTGTAACAGCATCCACCATGGGTATACTAGGAGTACTAGTAGCTACTGCTGGCAACTCGTGAACGCTTTGAGGTGTGGCAGGTGAAGGAGGCGTGCTACCACCTTCATTGGTATTTCCAAGAATAGATGGTACCTCTATCGCGCTGCTCTCTTTCTTCACCGGCGTAGGAGGACTATCTTGGCTTTTTTCAGGGGATTTCACAGGTGTAACAGGACTAGGAGCTTCGATATTAGATTCGTCATTTTCTGACATCGAAGTTACGTCTAAAAAATACCAAATTGTTAATTTAAAATTACACATATAATTAAACAAGAAATTTCTGCACATAACACTGTCTCTGACATGTGACTGCGACGAAAAACATTGAAAAAAAAATCGTCATCCTTACCTTTAGTATCATCGTCCTCAGCTATAGATCCGTGCGCGTGAGACTGATGATATTTCAATCCGTTGATATGCTTGTACTTCTTGGAGCAATTCGGTTCCGGACATTCGAGTAATATAGGAGAAGGGGGCGGGCTGCCGCACGGGGCGGGCGTGGCCGTGACGGGTGTGGCTGTAGGTGGAACGACGATTTTCGCCTTTTTACCGTTGCCGGGGGGAGTTTCCTCTTCGCCTGCTCGACTCTTCCGCTTGTTGTCGGGTCGGGGAGGAACAAAAGGGGCAGGAGACGCCGGCGCGTTGGCAGGACCCGCCCCATTGGCCACGCCCCTACGGCCGCCCTTAACACCGCCACCATTACGAAGTTTACTATGTACGGAAGATCGGGTTTCTAAAAACAAATAAAAAATAAATTATACCAAAAAAATATTAAGAATTCTGGGCAAGATATAAGTATATTTAAAAAAGTGACTTTGTTAAGTATTTCTTTGTAAAGAGTGTGTGACCATTTTTATTTTCTTAAAGACATACTAAATATAAACTTCTGTCAGTATTACCTCTCCCTTTAGGAGTCCTACTATCGAGGTCACTAGTCGGGGAATCACAGAATCTTGGTGGCGCCCAGTCGTGTCTGGTGCAGTCTAAGAGAGTACCGACGTAGGTTTTTCCTCTCCACGTCACATTAACAACTAATACACCTAAAATAAAGACAAAAATAAATAACTCAACAATCTGTACTAAAAGCATTCCCCATTTCATTGAATCTGAATAGAACTGTATGTTGTAGTACATGCTTTAATCATCTGCTGATGATAATTATCGGATAAGCAAATCATACTCTAGTGTCTAGAGTAATAAATATTTATTTTACTCTAATGGAATTGTATTATGCGGGGTGCGTCTCAAAAGTGGCTCACTCCTATAACTTTTATATAGATAAAAACAGATAAAAAAACGAGATTTGGTATTTTAGTATATGACATAAATTAGAATTGATTGACGTATTCAATTTTTTTCGACCACTTCCTTTTCCTCCGGAATTGACCAACCCAACCAACTTTTGAGTTTCAAATGGCCCCCCCTCGGTATTTTTTTAATTTATTCGATAGAAAATGACAGTCTGGATAGAACGACATATCATATGCCAACTTTTAACATTTACGCTTAAAATAAAATTGTATTTAAATTTCAATCTAGAGTGACATGGCATTGATGTGTCAAAAACACTAATTTTTAATCAAGGAGCCTTGGAAAAATATGTTTGATCGTCTAATATTTTTTGTGTCTTGTCCTGGCCGGTTAAAATACGCATCCCAAATCGTATTTTTAATAATATCACAATTTTTTAAAACGGAATGAGAGTGGATCATCAGCATATTTGAAAAATGCATTCTTTACGAATAATTTGGTTTTGGTTTGGTGAAAAAACCAACACACTTGGTATTTCGAGTCGTTATGAATTGTCATGCAATTTCAAATAAACCATATTCGAAAATGTCAAAAGGTGACATATGATATGTCATTCTATTCAGAGTGTCATTTTCTATCGAATAAAGTAACAAAATACCGAGGAGCTATTTAAAAATCAAAAGTTGTAGTTTTTCTGATGAAACAGGAAGTGGCCACAAACAATTGAATACATAAATCAATCCTAATTGAAGCGTGGAAATTCAAAAGCGTCTAAGTGCCAAATTGATCGAATTTAAGATTTCATTAATTTTGTAATCTATGTGCCAAGGCCAATAACGTACAAAACAGTCTAAGTCCCATACTGCTATTTTAACGTTAAATACTCGGCTAAAAGATGGCGCGACGTCCAAGTTGAGTATGCACTTATAGAGAAAAACCGTCTAAGTGCCAATTCGTTACACATTGCTGTAATAATTTTTTTTTCTAAAAAGTTAATCATATGAGGTGACAATAATTGCATTGGTCAAAATAAAAATAAAATAATGCTCTTATTGTTAATATATTTGGTGGCTATGGGAGTATATGAGCAAGTTGAACAAAAATTCTTAGTTTCTGGTCACACATACCTCCCTTGTGATCGTGACTTCGCTCAAATCGAAAAGCGAAAAAGAGTAACAAAAGCTTTCACACTTGATAATATAAAAGATATGATAAAGAATGCATGTCACAAGAATCCTTTTAAAGCTTTTACGATGCAATCTGAGGACTGTAAAGACATTCAGAAACTTGCCGACGAAATGCTGAACACAACGAAGTTAAAAATATCTCAGATTTCCTGGATTATGGTTAATAAGGAAAATCTGAAAATGGTGAAAATTAAGAAATATTTCAGTGAGCTGGAAGCATGGACTGACTTTAATGTTTTCAAGCAGGGAAAAAGGATACAGGATATTTTAGGAAATCTCCCTGTCCTAGAATGCAAGAATCGAATCTCTGCTGAAAAAATTAAAAATTTTGAAGATATGTTAGACTATATACCTTTAAAATATTTAAGTTATTGGGAAACTTTGATTGATGATACCAAGAAATCAAAATAAGTAGCAATTTAATCTACGTTCGTGTTCAGTTTTATTTTTTTGGATGTATGTTTAGTTGGAACATAGACGCTTTTGAATCTATGTTAATTTTGAACTTAGACTGTTTCTTTGTTTTATGAATTTGGTAATTCTTTCTAACAAAACTTTTCAACTTTTTAAATTTTTTAACATGTTTTATGCTTCAAACACTTAATACTGATTATTAAAGTACTTTTCACCGCAATATACTTGTTTTTTTTTATGTATTATAACAAAAACCTTAATAACTCAAAAATAACTTTTTGGCACTTAGACGCTTTTGAATTACCACGCTTCAATTTATATCATATACTAAAATACCAAATCTCTTTTTTTCGCATCCGGTATAAACTTTTTAAAAACGAAATTGTTTTTAACAACGCAACTGATATATTCAGCTAAACAATTTAAAATATTTTCGCCTAACGGAATTCGTGTGTAGGTAAACAGCAAATCTCTATCTAACATAACATCTCGTCAAAGTGGCAGGTACAAATGGCTTTAAGATAAACCATCTCAGAAACCGTTATGAATTGATGATAAAATTTAAAAAGCTTACACCTGATTGATGTACATACCTCCTTCGGTTTCGTGCCAAACAATTCCTTCTAGAGTGACACTGGTTCCAGGTTCACACGGCCCTAAACAGTCCGGTTCTGTAATGGTACCTATACTAGTACCCACGCACACATCCGCAGTTTCCTGTAACAAGAGATAATAATTGTATTAAATATAACATATTAAGAAATTGCTAATTTTATAATTAATCTAATTATATATTCTAATTAAGTACAGACAATTTATCTTTAACAACATATACATTCTATACTAAAACGAGTATAAAATATACGTATATACGGTAATTTAACTACAGGAATGTAGTTATTCCACGTATCATAATTACCTACCTAGTCAATTCTCTTCATTAGCTTTGATTAAAGCGATAAAAAACTGACAGGTATTGTTCAACCTTCCTCTAAAAAAATGTTTGGAGTGCTCTCCACGCCGCGTTCCTCCAGTTAGATCGCTATCGCAAATAATTGAAATTACAACCGGACAAAGATTTAAATTACACTGCTTATAGATAATAACGGATCGATACGAGAGATAAATTAATCATCTCGCCGAGCTGCGAGCTATAAGGCTCGAATTATCCGTAACTCATTGTGGGTAATAATGGTAATAAATAATTATTTAATCAGTCAGGAATACGTGCCAGTCAATCGACCGTCTAGAAAAGACTACGTTCCCCTATTCATTCTAAAAGAATTTATGTGAAAAAGTATATGTTTAAATAATTTTTGTAAATATTTATGTAAATATGCATATTAATCGACAATGTTAAATTAATGCATTGCATTTACTTGTCCTTACTAAACGTCAGGACAGGAAAACTGTCAAAATTGTGCAAGTCTATTAATAAGGCATTGCAATATCAATAAGTTACAGTTGGGGGGTTGGAACCTTTGGTGTTACAAAGCAAAATAAAACACAAAACACCACAATACACCAAAACATTTTTACTTTTACACTGGACGCGCGTTTCGCTAACCATGTTAGCATCATCAGCAGGTGATCAAGGCTAATCTAAAATGTACAATTTGAGCGTTTATATACTCGCTTAGTGGGTACCGAGTGGGCGTGGCAAGATCTAGATGGGAAGATGAGCAAAAAATCGCAAACTTTTAAAGTCAAAAAACGCTTTTAAAGTCACAATCGCAACCTACGATTGGCTCTCATAGGAAACTGCGATTGCGATTTCTTCTATTTGCCAGTTACAATTTAAGCAACCAATATTAATATAGTTGCGATTTGTGATTTTTCTGCGATTGTGATTTTGTAAACTAGGACCGTGACAACCTTATATCTGCGAGTTTGAACTTTTAGGAGTTGCGATTTGCGATATTGTTGCGAATGTAATTTTGTGGTCTATTGAAGCATTTTATAGTAAACTGCGATTGAATTTTCTTTCTGATATTATTTATTTATAAAGAAGGTATTATCTTTCTAGGACCACGATCATAATATACCGGGTGTTTCTCAAGAGTGGTTTATTCCTATAACTTTTTTATTTTTTCTGATAAAAAAAACAGATTTGGTATGTTAGTATATGATATAAATTAGGATTGATTGTCGTATTCAACTGTTTTTGGCCACTTCCTGTTTCACCGAAAATGACAACAACTTTACACGATAGACAATGACACTCTGAATAGAATGGCATATCATATGGAAACTTTTGACATTTTCATTTAAAAATCATATTTTAAATTTCAATCTAGAATGTCATGGCTGTGTTAAAAACACTAATTTGCAATGAAAATGCCTTGGAAAATAAATTTGATCAGTTTTTCAAATGGAACGAGAGTGGCTCCTTGGCATATTTAGAAAAAGCATTTTTTACGAAAGGCTCAGCCCTCACGAGCCATCTTAAAAAAAATCTTTTAGATTTTTTTAAGAATTGGGAAAAGAACTAGATAATTGAGAATTGTAAAAAGCGTAGGTATGTATAGTTGCAACAGTTGCAGCTTATATAAGCCAAACCGAACCTATAATGTGTTGCAGATATTATAAAAAACTTAAAAACTAAACTACTGATTATTATTAACTCTTTTGAACTATTAAGCTATAGATACATATAAACAGACAATTATTTACCTAGTACAATATTTGAATATTAAAATCGCAATCGCAGGTTACAGTCGCTGCGATTTAAAAATCGCAATCGCAGTTTCAATTGCGAATGAAGAATCGCAGTTTTGCTCATCTCTAATATCTATACCCTAAAAGCAAACCATGTTAAACACAAAATTGGCATATCTGAGATATATACGTCAAGTTACTTAGCTTTTTATGTTCTACCCATTGCTCTTTCTCGTTTTACGCTATCTGTATATTTTCACACCTAATGAAACTAAAATACTGTATGATTAAAAAAAAATAACGGCGTCAGAGACGGCTGGAGTATGACAATCGATGATAATTCTGGCGAGGTCTTTGGCGAGTATCAAAAGTTAGAAAATGGAACGCAGCAACAAATTGGAAACTAATTTTCGTGGCTTGGAAAGTGTTTCGTCGTGCCCCCAGGCGACATTCTGTTGGGAAATTGTTATTATCGCGCTCTCGATGATGTATCGCTCTTAAGCGAGGCGAATGTTGTGGCAAGGAAAGCGCCATAATCTAAAGCTATCGATAAAATTGTTACCGAGGGATTTACGAGACCCTGTTTCGCCTAATTTAAAGGAATTTTATGCGAAATTGGCAAAGTCGAACAGCGGCAGAGGTAGTTAAATTTTACTTATTATAGCGTGTTATTTTCATCGGCGGCAAAAGCATAAATAATATTTAAGTGGTTGTAAATGAAACTGCTTCTTTGTTGGCACACCAAATATAAGCTTTTATTAATTATACCACAGAAAGATGAAATCATTTGGAAAGATAATTATCGCAAAAGGCAAATTTATTGTCTGTTATATTCAAATAACCTTTTACATGGAACTTTATACAGGGTGAGTCTTAAACGAGTAAGTGCAAATATTTTCAGAGCTGGTAGATCTCGATACAAGATACATGTTTTCTCTTTACCGTTTTTCCAATAGGTTTAAAATAACCTAGTTATTTAAGTTTGGAATTAAAAGAAAATAGATTTATTTTTAAAAAAAATTTGGCGAGAGCCACCGAATTTTTGCTGTATTTGCATCCCTTTTAGTGCTGTAACCGTAGAGTAAAGCCGTAACCATATAATATCAAAGATTAAGAAATTATACCATAGGAAAGTTTACGGTGAACAGGCAGTTCTAAAAAGTTTTCTAAAATATACAGGAAAATTTTAAAGAAAATGCACGATTTTCAACATCTTTTTTTTTTGCGAATAAAACCTCATAGACATGTTCCTGCATGGGGTCAAAATATACTACTGTATATAGAGATTTATCAATCCTCTTTCTCCGTAGTTTCGTTTTAAAATCGCTACCCGTACTACTGAAATGAAATTGTGTACAAATTCTTTAATTTGTTCATTAAATCCTGTTATATGAGCTGCGTTATGAACACTGAGCGTTGGATGATTATACACCGCAAGGACAAAATTACAACAAAGTCAAAAGTTTAGTTGCGAATGAGTTTTATTAACCATGTGTGATTTCACTGGTCTCCTACTGTTGGCAGCACACGCCATCCACACTGTGCGGATAACTTGTCGTAAAATATACGAACAAAACATAGACACTTTGATCTTTACCGACAGGAGATGGGAACATTGAAAAGTCTCGAAATTTTGAAACAAAACAAAAATGAGACAAAAATGTCGAAAAAATGTATTGGATTTGTCGCAATTTTGTCCTAAAACATGAATGTTTCTGTCTTGTCGTTGTTTTGTCTGCTTGGTCTGGATCCGGCATTAGGTGTTACTTTGTCTAAAATGATGTAACGGATAGTCCTGCTCACAGACCAGTTCGTCTATCCGTTCTGTAGCTACGAGGCATCCGTAAGAAGAGAAACAATATTCTCTGTTACCGTTTAATCGATGTTTCTCGTAAAAAAATAGACGACGCGTACCATCAATAAAAATTCGACAAATTTGCAAGTAGCCAATGAAATGAGTAGGCGGTGTATTTTGCGGTGACATACTTAAGTCCGCGTGGACTCTCCGCCGCTTCTATATAGGTAGAGATTTATAACATATATTGCTGTTTATTTAAATGTTTTTTACTGTACTTTACTTGCATATCATTGGTATTATAGAGTTTTAAACGAAGGCTGTTTTTATCTACAACAGCAAAAACAGCTTTAGTAAATCCAGATTACAAACAAGTATTAAGCGAGTGTCGAAATTAAATAATTCCATTTATAATCCATTAGAGCTCTTGGACGACCAGGAGTCTGTGTGACAGACAGATATATGTACATTTCTAGAACACACGTCATTTAACTAAAATTAATCTTATCAATAATCATTAATAAGTAGTTTTTGGAACTGCAAATAATTATAAAAGGACACCTACTTAGAGTTCCGGATACTAATGATAATTACTACTTGGGTCGAAATTGAATACCCACGACGATGTTTCAAACGGCAATAAAAGTGAGACGAAACGAATCTAATTCGCCATACTTTACCTCCGTTATTCGCCGACGATACAAATTAATCGATCGTAAATAATATAAATTAAACTGTTTAAAACTGAAATTAACTGGTGCCGCGATTGCGGTAATTCGCAGTGACGCGACCAATTTCTCCGGTAACGCTAGCGTTCCTTTAATAGGTGTATCGTCGTGGTGGCGTTTCCGCTAATAATCATAGTAACGACATGGAAAAAATTCCGTTGGACAAGTAACCAACACACAGCGTGCAACACCGTTTATCTTCTGGTCAAATTGAAGCAGTACAATCTAAAAAGGCTGAAACGACTGGTGCCCTTTTATGTATCCAGGAAACCTAGTTTAGAAAAGGAATTAGCAATGTCCCCAAAATGAGATAGACCTCGCTTAGAATGGACATTCTGGCAACAGAATAGGGCAGTTGTAGATGGCATGTTAAACCGTCTCATCTTCCTGTAAGTTACAGTTCGAATACTGTTTCTGGATATTGTCAAAATGTCACTATTAGTTCATTATTGGAGTAATGAAGTTTCTTTAATCCAAATGAAATCGCTGACTTCATTCCAGTACTTCTTGAAATTTTCCATAGTAATGTCCTGAAG